CAGTATGTAAAAGTGTTGCTGGCACCTGGTTTGCTCTGTTGGTGTTGTTCTGGTGACACTGCTCTGCACGTGTCTCACGTGTCTCCTGCTTTCTCACTGTATAGCTGTTCTTAAAGTAATTGTGGGCAGCTTCGGTAAATCCGAGGCCAATGTCTGCCTCTGTAGACATGCAATTTGTTGTACTGGCTGCCAAAGCCACATGTGAAGTCCCCTTTGAGTTTTGATGTTTTAGAAGATTGAGAGGACTTTGGGGGGATAGTTCGTGCAAAATTACTGCTTGTAGAGGCTGCAGAAACAGGCAATGACTGCTTGCGGTAACTACTACTACTGAGGGCCGTCGAGATCAATACAGAAAACGCCTAAGAGCCACAGCAAAGACACTTTGGCTACAGTACCTATTTCTTATCAGTGCAACAGCAATATGAATAGAAGGTGAGGGTGTTGTGGTCATGGACTTGGGATGTTTGCAGTGGTATTATAGATCAGGCATCAGTAAACTTTGATCCTCCAGATGTTTTGGACTTCATTTCCACCAGCTGTTAGGAATTGTAGGAATTGAAGTCCAAAACACCTGGAGGGCCAAAGTTTGCTGATGCCTGTTATAGATCCTTAAGTTTCTTTTTAGAAACTTACCCTAACAATAGTTCTCCCACTTTCTTGGAAGCCTTGTTAATAACATTGCCTGTGTTTTCTCCGAGATAATGCAGTCCTGGAAAACAAAGGACAGTTCAAGTGTATACTATCTTCTGACGTTGTTTATGAGAGTCAGGTGCTGTAGATGATTGGATATGGTTCAACATTCATCATCCCTCCACAGTTGAGGTATACCTCAAACTGACAGAATTTATGATTTTGCAAGGAGCCATGCTCAAATTTAGGTTGATACCATGGATCTGCTTTGTACATGTAATGAGAACTTGGCATGTCATGTCTGGATATTCAGTAGAAGGTGACAGTGAGCAATTAATATTTAATGAAAAAAAATACGGATTGATTTCTTAGGCCTTTATTTGGAGTGGAAAGTTCATCGGCCTGGCTTGTGCCCCATATTCTGCAAAGGACTAAGCATTTCTTTAATACGTCTTCTGCTTGGTGCACTTCTAACCACTGACCAGCTGTCTTTTAAGCCCTTGGTGAAAAAGTTTTGCAGTATGATGGCTTGATACAATTTTCTCCTTCTGTGGTGACATTTCACCACAAATGTGGAATAAAAGCTTATGAGGTCATCTCGCAAAGTTTTCTGAGGTTCCTTATACACTGATGAGTCCATAGCTTCTAAAAACAAAATCCTGGAACCTTTTGGTGAAAGAATAATCCCTCTGACCAACTTGTCTCCCACTTCTCTTAAATCTCATTCCAAGGCCTGTTATATGGGTCTTACTCTTAACATGGCTTTGCGTGGGATGTAATGTGTGTTGTGGGATGGGGTCTGAGGGTAATAGAGATACTTTGCCCACCACCAAATATAAGCATATCTGGTTTTGGCATGGCATTGATTGGGTTTTCCAAGCAGTACAAACAGCAGATTTTTAAAACACTAAACTCTGTATTGTGGCTGTTAGGTGGGTGATTTGGCTTCTTTGTTTTGTCCTCAGACATATTTCTCATGTGAAACCCATCTGAGGAAGATTTAAAGCCCTAGAGAAAAGTGAAGGGGCAGTACACTAATTCATTTTCGTTGTCCCAAGAGTCCTTAAGAGTTCCAGGATGTGACCATGGCAACAACTACTTCATGACCACCTCTCAAATGTAGTGCATTCTTCCCGCTCTAGTTACAACACATTATGCAGGCTTTAAAATAGTTCTGAGAGTACTCCTTCCAATGTAGAAATATGTACTTTAAGATTAATTCAGTGATTATAGACTATGCCTCTTTGTACTGAGAAATTTTGTTCTTTCCTGGCTTGTTGTTTCATTAAACATATAGTCGTTCTTATTTAATCATCTTAACATATTTGTGGAACAGATAGAAAGTTTATAAGGTAGCTACAAGGTGTTTTGCACTGTTTTTTGTTACATAAAATAAAGAACAGAAGGAAATGAAGTGGTCCCGTTTGCACATGTCTTTCTTTACATACTACAGAACAGGCTTATCTGGATGGTATAGTTCCCATACTGAAGTTAAAGAAATCCTAGTATTCTAGACAGTGAAATAATGTGTGTTTGCTGTTTAAACCTTTCAACATGGAAATGTTATGTCTCTTCTGGTACAGTGATATTGTCACTTTTACAGTTAGCAGAAGAAGGCCCTAATTGCTTCCAAATGTTCACTGTTAGAACTCTGCTAGAGTCCCTGGATTCCCTTACTTCAAGAAATGCAAAGCTGGCTGTTTTTGACAAGTCATTTCATTATGTCTGAACCAGTCCTTACTAATTTTGTTTTATGGTCGTTCCCCTCACATTCTCCACCCACTGCTTAGTATCTTGGATCATAAGGAAAACATTTCTGAAACCAGATAAAAACGCAAGAATGCTGTTTGTGTTTCTTACGAGTTTGTATGGCTGTTGTAATTACTGTTGTAAGTGATGTTAGGCTGCAAGAATCAACAGTGATGTTTTATATCAACATCATTTCTGCCTTATAGACTTGAGAAAGAGGTATAGTCTTTTTCCAGATCTTGTAGCTAAGCCTTTTTCAATTTTTTTCCTGATTTTTAAGAGTGCAAGGAAGACTGTACGGGATGCATGTTTGTAGCTGCTTTCTAAAATGGGGGAAAGCTTTGTGGATCATGAAGAGAGGTTGGAGGCATAGAAGTCTGGATTGTGCTTTCTTCACCCCAGCTGTAGCTGAAGTTTTTCTTTCCATAGCCATCTCTTAGAAAGTGCCTTTGTCACTTGTGAGCTTTAGGCTGTTATTTGTGGGTCCCTCCCAGCACTTTTGTTCTAGTAAATAGTGTGTTTTTCATTTTTTAAAATGGTGTAGCTGTTAGTATCTTGACTTAAGCTTATGGATGGAAGAAACCTCATAGTCATACATGCAGTTGGTTCGCTTTGCCTTTGTGAGAATGCGTACCAAACTGTAGGTTTTCTATTAAGTGTTTACCATTTCATCACATCCAGGAATCTATGGTTAAAGTCTTTGGAAAAACATTGAGTCATGGTTTAAAGGGGGTTTAATAGCTGATGATGTCCTATTAACAGTTTTTTTCCAGTTCAGATGAAATTGGAAAATATAGTTATTAGAATATTTTTTGGCAAATTAAATTAAGAACAAAGCGGTTTGCTCATATTTATTATTTTATTTTATTTATTTATTTACCATATTTGTATACCGCCTTTCTCAGCCCGAAGGCAACTCAAGGCGGTCCACAGTCTGCAACAATTCGATTCCCCAATACCATAAAATACAATTAAAAACAATAGCATATAATATAAAAGCATACAAAACCAATAAAAAAATATATCATCAGCGTCTCCTTGTTAAAATCATTGTCCAGTCACATCATCCAGTCACTCCATTGTCCTATATTTTTCTGTTACACTGCATTTGTGAATGCTTGCTCAAAAAGCCAGGTTTTGACTTTTTAATGAAATGTTAAAAGGAAGGGGGCCGATCTGATATCCCTAGGGAGGGCATTCCATAGCTGAGGGTCCACCACTGAGAAGGCCATGTCTCTCGTCTCCGCCAGACGGATCTGCGAAGAAGGCGGGATCGAGAGCAGGGCCTTCCCAGATGATCTTAAAAATCCTAGATGGTTCATAAGGAGAGATGTTCATATTTTGTTCATTCATATTTAGCCTTTTAAGCTAATATATGATTAAGTTACACATGCTTTATAACAGTGAAAGGGAGCCAGAGAAAAATGAACTTGTATTGTCTGTATATCATGTACTGTTTCATGTAGTCCTTTTTCATCAAACTATCTCTGGATTACTTTGTATTTTAAGCTACATAGATTTAAATACATAAATACAACAAATAATTTTGATAGCTAGCACTCCATCAAGCCTACTTTGAAGGAATAATAATAGTACTGAAGAGGAACATGGAAGATCTTCCTTGCTGCACCAGACTTTCACTTTGGAAATGCCAATAATATTTATTGTATCAGGATATAATTATATCATTTTTTTCTGCCATTGTTATTGTTTATGTGAAATTTTAGGACTTTGGGGATATTCTGTATACATCGATCCTACTTAACAGTTGGATACTTTCAGTAAAACCATATGTAGAAAGTATGACATGTTTATTTTCCCTCAAAGATCAATTTCAAGGTTGGCATTGTGTCCATGGCTGGCAATTGGACCAGTGCCCATAGTTACATTGCCATGATTCCCAGGGCAACACTTCATTTTGTTGCTGTTTAGTGAAAAATCATCCCATGAGCTTGATCTGAACTTTGTACTCGGTTTTGACTGCAAGATCCCCTTTGAGCATTTTGATCAGTTTACTTTCTGGGGGGAAAAAATTGTTTCTAACTCTATTAGACTCATTCCCAAATTTGTCTTACTGATGTAAAAGCTTTGTCTGAAGTGGTTCATTTTGTGGATACACATCTAGCTTAGTCGTCTCCCAAAGAGTTACATTAAAACATTGTGATTTTAGAGGAAGAATTGTATTATATTTGCAATGTATTCAGCAAATCAATTTTCACGTTTATTTAGTTGACGAGTGACTTGCAACTAGAATATTGTAGTACTAGCTTCAGTCGACAAAGTAGAGCTGTCACTTCGTAGTCTTCATTTTGGATTAAAATGCTTTTTCTGTTTGTGTTTAGAATGTCTTAAAATAGTTAGCTTAATTATTTAAAGAAACCAGAGTTCAAGAATTGTGTTCAAATGAATTCATAATAGGGACATAGAAAATTCAGAGTTCATTTACACTCATTTAAGCTTTTTTTGTGGTGAGGGGTGTGTCTTTTTGATGTTCTTGTATTCCACTGATTTGAAAAGGAATTTGTCTTCATCTGTTCTTTGGTTAAACCAGGAAATTAATTCTAACCTACTCTGTAATTTTTTGCATTGTATTTTTAAACCACTTTTTAAAACCTTTCTAGTGTTGTTCCACTTCTGAGAGAATCCATTGGGATTTTGATGCAACGAACTCCTCCCTCCTTGGAAGGGGCTCTGCCTCAGTGCTATCAAAGGGTAAGTCAATTTCTTTTATTCAAAACGCATTCCTAGATTACAGAGCAGCAAAAGTGTACAATCTGAAGGATATTTTCCCCTTCGTAATAAGTGACCAAAAAGTAACATGCCATAACAAAACTAGCACGCTGATGAGATAGATTTGTAATCTTTATACAAGCTGTTACTTGATGTACATCAAGTGCATTGGATCATTCCAGGAACACTCTTGCCAATTCTCTGCTTTCTGTTACTTGTAGTAATCATGTCTAGTATTTTTCTGGTGTCACTAGTAATTTCATAGCTTGCACAGACAATGACAGTGTTGTGGGCCTAAAGATGGAGTGGTTAGGAAATTATTCTTGTTTAAAGACCTAGTCATGCAATGTCTTGTGTGCTGTGTCTCAAACATCCCTCAGTATACCATACAGTAGCAATAGGTGCTGAAAGAGAATATCATGCCCTTTATAAAATCTGTTTGCAATTTTAAAATATTTATATGTGCTCTAACAGCATGAAAGCTCATTTAGACCATGGAATCATACATCCAAATGATGTGCACTACAACTCACAGCATTCTTGGTATTGATTATGCTGGCTGAAGCTTAAGTGAGTTGTCAGTTCGTTGATTTGATTCCCACACCTTAATTGTATGACTGGAACTGTTGTTTTTTTTTTTTTTTAGAGGAAAGTTGAAAAAAGTCTCTTTCCCCAGAATAGATTTTAAATTGTTATTTACAATCTTGGGGAGACAGTGAAATGTGTTTCTGTTCATTTTATGTGCTGCTATATTAAGTTGTTCACATTGTATTGGAAAAAAGTATATGCATGTATGTAGCATCTTTGTGTGGCAATTTTAGATTATAGATTTTTAAAAAAATCATTTTGAAAGAAGGCTAAACACTGCCTTTCTATTTTAGGTTCAGCAATTGCAAGGAGTTTACAGTTTAAATGATCCCCATTTCTGGACCCTCTGTACTGATGTTTACATAGGGACTCTGAAACTGTTTGTAGCTCCAGATGCTGATGCAAAGTGGATTCTGAGCCAAACTCACAATATTTTTACTCAGGTATGATACACACACACGTTCTTTTTGGTCTTGGTTACCTATGCAAATTTTCCTTCTTGGTCTTGGTGTACAAACTGTTCAATGTATTTGGAACCTGTTAAAGCTCTTACATAAGTATTTAGGTGGTAATCCAACCTATTCTATGCATATCATACCAGAAGGCTTTTGACCAAAACCCTAAACAGGTCACTTACCTGGAACTGTAGTTCATTGAGTGCCATTGCTAGTCATGTGCATTCAGGGCAAAAGGCATACTGTTTTCATCTGACACCTCATTTCATTTACCTGAAAGTTACCTGAAAGGGGAGGGGTGTTTTCCGTTACATTTGGCAGAGATTTGGCCCATTGGCTACAATGGGAAACTTTAAAGGCTCAATCCTTAGCCATTTTAAGGCATATCTACATGAAATCTACCTCAATTTACAATTGTAGACCTATCAGGTTTCAAAAATATTAACCAATCTACTGATTTTTTAAAGAATTATTTTAAGTTTTAAACATAACATTTTAAAAAATAAGACAAACCGCAAGAGAGGGTTCTGGGAATTGTAGTCGCTGGTTGTGTCTATTTTCAGCCAGTTAGAGCATGGACATCACCAGGCTTTTTAACTGGTTGAGAGACACGCAGAGAGAAAATATTCTACTCCCATCATGCTCTGAGAGGAACTTTCAGTGGCTACCCTATACTAGTGCCGCTGGAAAAGTGAGTTCAAAGGGCCTTTTCTGGAGGAGAAGGTAACTTTCCAAGCAAAAACGGAGGCGGTTTCTTCTGCTGGGGAGAGAAAAAGACGCCATAGATCCCCCTGCCTCAGGTCTTTCCAAAAAGGCCGTCTCTCTGAATTTATTTCACTGTGATTTGGGCCCAACTCTAGCTATTGCCCTTCTTGACCATTTAGGAATGGAAAATGCCATGTTTTAGAAAAGTCTCGGGTTTTTTCCCTAGGCATTTGTTTTCTACACATATGATTCCCGTGTATCACATGTCTTTAAACATTTGACAAATTTATTTGCAGGAACTACCTACATTTTGACAGAAATCCTAATTCTCTTTGTGTGGGACAGCTCTATCCTACAAAGAGTGATTCTCATAGTAGTCTTTTCCCCTGAGACTTTGGGGTGTTGGTGCAAGAAATCAAGCTGTCTCACATTTTTAAAATTTTCAAGTGGCATCCTGATCTTTTCTTTCTTAGTCTTTTAATATTAAAAGATGTTTTTCACAGTTGAAGGACTATTGATGTTCTTTGTCCTTTAGTATACTTGAAGAATCGAAAGACCAAGAAGGAAAATGAAAGTTAACCACCAGTCACTTGGCATTGGATTAGTTCTGCTATTGCAAGTCATCCTGCCAAAACATGGGATATGAACATTTCTGGGTTGTTGTAGGTTTTTCGGGCTCCTTTCATGCTCTAGAAACATGGGCATCTAGCCCGAAAAACCTACAACAACCCAGTGATTCCAGCCATGAAAGCCTTCGACAATACAATGAAAATTTCTGTCTGGAATATTAATTGCAGTACACATTCGGTAGTTGTGCCTTCCTATATCTATGGTGAAGGAAATAACTAGCGGAGAATATATATTACCATTAGAAAAACCTTTATTGTATCAGGACACTGGCAACCTCTGGTTTGAGCAGGACAGCTGCTGCAGCCCAAAATCGTAACTCGTCCCAAGTCAAACTGCATGTGTAGTTTGTGATTAGCTCTCCTGACATTTATATTAATATTTTAAAGCAGCTGTGAGGATGATTTGACTGGAATAGATGTGCTTTGTGTTGTGTTTTAGTTTGTGATGGTCCTATTTAATTAGTAACTATTACTTGTATTTAATTACAAATCATTTTAATATCTTTACATTATTCAATTATTCTGCATGTTTTAGATTGTTCAAATTATTTTTATTGTTTTAAATTTTCAGTATTTTCAACTAATTCAATTGTAAGCTGCTCAGAATAGGATGGAATATAAATATTTTGATGATGATGCAGCTTCTGAATTCCTCCACCCTGTATGGATATGTTTTCTTGTATTTGAAATGGGATATGTTTGGGATGTGGAATGAGATAATGTCTCAGGTTTGTTTTCTGATTCAGCTCTTCTTATATTACAGGCTGGAGTGAGACAACTATACGTACAAATTGATTTTGCCGCTATGTAGCGAATATCTTGGACGTTTCCTTTGGACCAAAGTTTTTTTTTAGTGCTGTTATGATTCAAAACATTGTACCTTCTTCGAAACAGAGACCCTTTTCTCTCTGCAGCTGTCCAAAAATGGAATACACTGCTGCCTTTCGGCTAGATGTGGAGAAGGGCACCGTCCTGGACTAGTTGGGCTTGACTTTCAGCCCCAAATTTTTGTGGATTATTTGCCGCGTTTGTTCCTGCAGCAAACGTAATAATAATGTGGTACTGCGATCATTGGTTATGCTTTTCGTGAAGCTCCTGAAGTTACTGCTCATTCCCATGAAGCCAGTGTTACACAAGGGGAGGGGGGGTTGTGCGCGGATAAAAACAAAACTTAATTCTGTTTATAATGTCACAGTGCTTTGACATTCAACAACGTAACTGTATCTAAGACTGTTTGTACTTTGCAAACTTTATGAACCAAACCATATTGGGTTTTCAGAGTGCCTTTATATCAAAATATCTGTCAGCACAGATATGAAACATTGGGTTTTTTAATTAACGTTCATGGTTACTACTTGTCTCCAGGAGGATTCTTGCTTTGTGGATGGTGTAATGGTGTATGTTGGATACCCTTTTAATGATTACATTTTGAACTTCTGTGGAGGCGATACTTCAATTTTACAATACAGAGGAAAATCATCACACAACCTTGTTTACAAAATACTTTCACTACCATAAAGTGAATCTTATGCTGACAGTAATCAGAAATTACTGTATATGGCCATTTTACTAGAAAAAATGCAGGAATGTGGTGCTACCACTTGATATCTTCTTATTTTTCTTCTGTTGTCTGCAGACTTGTCACAAGTTTTTATGATGTAGTTGAAAGGAAAGATGCTTTCCTGTAATGCCTCTTCTTAGTTTTGTCAGCTGATTTGGTAGTTGGCAGATTAACAGGGGAATGGACATTTTTATATTTCAGTCAACAGAACATCCAAGATTTTACTACAGATTCCACATCCTTAATTAATAGCTAGAAGGAATTTGGTCTTATAATCCCATGAATATTAAAACAGAATATTTCTTCAGAAATCCAGTCAGTATATGCAATAAAACACATTCATTTTTAGTGCTCTTTATCATGGAACATAAATGAATTTGCTGATCATTCCCCCATATTTAATATTTTAATTTGTACTACATTGTAAGAGAGTCCCCAAAGTTTTTCAGGTAACTCTTATGACATTTAATAATCAGGGCCAGTATTGCTGTGTATTATGTATTGTTCAGTAACCATTGGTCTTAAAGTCATCATCTTCCATTTTATGCATTAATGAGGTTCTTTGTAGGCACCATAAGTTACAATACAGCAATGGTTCTCAACCTGTGAGTCCCCAGGTGTTTAAACCCCAACCAGTTTACCAGCTGTTAGGATTTCTGAGAGTTGAAGGCCAAAACCTCTGGGGACCCACAGGTTGAGAACCACTGTATATAGGGTATTTAAAAAAGATGGACCCAATTTGCAATTGCGATATCTCTGCAATGAAACTCTTACCTCTGTGGGGCATAGGGTTTCAAAGTATTCCTGCTAGATGCCTCTCCCAGCACACAAGCAGCCCCTGGCTTCAGTCATTTGTAAAATGACGAACCCACAACATAAGGCCTAATGAAATGTTCTCCATTTGCACGGTTATTTTTTAGATTTGTTTCTGGCTCAAAGTGGTTAGTAAAACTCGATAACTCATTAAACCGTTTGTAACTTTTTGTGTGATTCTGACATGTTGCCATTGTGAAATATACTGGGCCAATCATTTTGAAACACCATGTATTTTGTGGGTTTATTTGAAAGGACTGATGTAAGTTTAAGGTCTCCCTTAGTATCACTGGTAAATTTATCTCCTTTATCAGAACTGAAATATCTGGTGGAAACTAATTTCCATTTTTACTGATCAGAAAAACCAAAAGTTCTGGTTACATTAATAGAAAATACTCATCCATGTTTAACTCTCCTCTAATGCATTTTGCATGGATCTTTGTGATATTAAGTTTGCTTACTAGAAAATGAAGATTGGTGTGAACATGGCAAACCGTTTCCCAATATACAGTTTTTAATTTTAAATGAGGAAAGAACATTTAGCTATTTAAAGGTTAAGTAAGTATCAGCTATGCCTAAAATGGAAGTGTACTTTCTCTGCAAAAATTGACTCTAATGTGAAGTTTCTGTTTGTCTTGGAATTATGCTTTCTTACAATTTTTCAAATTCTTGTTGATTCTTATGTAATCTCTTGCTGGATGTTTAATTTCTAATCGACACTTCCTTTTGCTTAATTTAGAAATGCCAATGTTTTGATACAAAATACAGACTCCAAAGATAAGTTTTGGCCCTTACATTTGCATAGACTTGTACCTAGGCTGCATTTGTCTTTTGGGAATATTACCATGCTGCTAGTTTCCATGGTTTCTTGGATTAGTACAGTGGGTCTCAACCTGTGGATCCCCAGATGTTTTGGCCTTCAACTCCGAGAAATCCTAACAACTGGTAAACTGACTGGGATTTCTGGGAGTTGTAGGCCAAAACACCTGGGGGCCCACAGGTTGAGAACCACTGGATTAGTATGTCAAAACTTGGGCATTTTGTGAAGTGCAGTTCAGTGCAGTTCAACAGCACATTGGACTTAAAAACTTTGGGAAACATTTGTGCCATTCTTCCCACACAACAGTAAACTCATTTTACACATTTAGATCTTGCAGTTTATTACTTGCTGGTAAAACTTCATAAAACCAGTCCCTTTTTATGTGAACTGATCCTATATCAGAACTTTGCTTTACGTTACTAGATTTCTATGGCTGGTATCAGCATGTGACAAGGCATTGGGTGCGGCTGCCTATGAGAGAATGTACATTGCTTAACCTTTTAAATAGTATTTAATTACCAAAAGGCTCAACCCTTTTTGCAAGTGGGTAGTCCTTTATGGTTGCTAACTACTGTCTACCTTTTGGCAAAAATTTGAACCTTATTAAATCATACTTCGCCAAATGTGGAGGTTTGAAATTTCCTTTGACCTAACACTGGCATCAGAGATTAAACAGGGCTGCTGTGAGTTTTCCAGGCTGTATGGCCATGTTCCAGAAGCATTCTTTCCTGACATTTTGCCTGGATCTATGGCAAGCAACCTCTGAGGATGCCTTTCATAGATGTGGGCGAAACGTCAGGAAAGAATACTTCTGGAACATGGCTATACAGCCCATAAAACTCACAGCCACCCAGTGATTCCAGCCATGAAAGCCTTTGACAACACAGAGATTAAACAGATACACTCCTTTGACACCACCATATATTCTGTGCAGCAGGGATTTTATCCAACATCCAAGCGTACAAATTTGTTTGCAATTCTCAGGCTACACCTTCAGTTTAGGGAAAGCAGTATCTCAAAGTGGGATCTCATTTTTAACCAATATTTGGTGCAAGACATAAAGGAGAACTCACTGTGTACTGAGATTGGTGAGCTGTACTTCATTACATGGTTGGCCCACTTTCTAGGGCAGATGCTGCTGCAGATGGTAACAACCATAGCAATGAAAATCCTTTGCTAATAAATCGAGCATTGTAGTGCATTTGTAACTCTACAACAGGAATGGTGGCTGCCAGAGGCTCTGGTATTGCATTGGCTTACTGTGAACCTCAGATATTTTAAACGTAAGCTCTTTTGGGAGTTTCAGAAGCATTCTCACCATGTTCTTGTTCATCTGGGAGGTTTCAAGACAGGGATAGGTGGCTCCCAGATACCCCTATTTTTAAAAAAAAATCAAAAGGCCCCAATTTCACCATATTTTTGGGCTGTTACAGGGCCATTTTAGGCTCAAGAAATACCATTCCACGGTGACTCCAGGACTACTTCTCATGAGAGGAAAAAGCCCTTCTTTGGCCTCAGATGTGGCCCAGATAGTCAGAAATATTACTCATTCCTCCCTTGACAACATTATTCAAAAATATTTATTTCAAGAAGGTATAGTCCGACTCATCAAGGTTCCCTGGCTGGCCAATGTGAATTCCCCAATATTTGCTCACTCCTATTTTAGTTCTGGGAAAGGCCTCTGTTTAAATCAGAAAGTTTGTGAAAAACAAGCAAGTGTTCAATCAGTTTGGGGAGTTGCTCAGGTCCCTCAAAAGAGCCCATCCCTTCCCTACAACAGTGAAAGAATTAAGACTGAATAGTGGATGCTAACTGCACTTTACCAGGTGAATAGTCCATGAGGAGATAGAAGTCACTCAAGCTCCATCTAGGTAGTTAGTTATTCAAGCGTTGAGATATAATGCAAATAAAATTCACAATTATATTTTTGAGGGGAAATTATAGTGTGGTTTCTTTTTTTTCAAACATGACTGATGAAATCAGTGGATTTTTATATGTTTTGTCCAATAAGAAATGTTTTTGAATTCAGTTAAATGCATTATGTGCTTTTTGCCTGGAAAAAAGAATTTATTTTCTATGTAACTTTTTAAACATTCCTACAACCTGTCCTGTTTTTCTATTCTGACCAGATCTTTAGTCTTTTTGAAATTGCTTTTCCACTCTAAATCAGGGATGAGGGAAATGTGGTTCTCCAGTTGATGTTTGAATGTAACATGCATTAGCTCTCCCTGTTGGCTCTGCTGGCTAAGCCTGGTCAGAGCTGTAGTCCAATACCAACTGGAAAGTTACTCATTCCCTATTCCTGTGTGTCCAGAGGGTCCTATGAAAATGTTTGCACCACATGCCACAACTTTGGTGAGAAATGAAAATACTAGTACAGTTATAAAATACCCTCCTCCCCAATTTGGGCTCAATTCTGTGTGTAAACTGTTCAATAGAAACAGTGTTTCAATATTTCACATCCAAGAGTTGTTACCTTGATGAAGTGTTTTGTATGGTGATCCAATTGCCAAAATGTATATTACTACTATCGGATTGGATTGTCCTGCTTAGAACTTGCTGGCTGGCTGGGAAAATATTGCTAAAGCTCGGTTACCTAAGGGGCACCTAAAGTGGGATTTCACTCTTTATCAACCTTGTATTCTCTTTCCAAATTCAAAATGTCTTGACTGGTGCAGTTTTAGGACTTTGCTGCCATGATGAATATTTGGGAATTACTAAAGTTAGTAGCCAGTTTGACTTGCCCTAAGTGCAATATTGAACATTTTAATGCATCATTTTTTTTCTACTTGAATACAGTCTCTATGAAGTATTTAAACAGCAACTATGTCTGAGGTAATATTTGGGATCAGTTTTTCCTATCAATAAACTTCTTTTTTCCAAAGTATCATTGTTGTGCATCTTGTTCCTGTAGCCAAAATACCTGATACTCAATGTCTTGAATGGCAAAAGAAGTTACTGGTGAACTGCTCTAGAGCTAGAGAAGACAAGAGCCACCACTCTTTAACTTGGATGGCATCCATTACCTTGGAAAGTCTTGATCCAATACATACCTCAATAATTCACTTTTTGTTGGGTTGTGCAAGTCATAATACTGTGCCATTTTTATGTAAGAACCAATTTTTTTCTCAAAGTCACCTGTTCTGTGCTGCATAACATAGTGGTCAGTGAGGAGTAGCATGACATCTTGCTGCTGGGACCTCTGGAAGACCAGTAGGAGGCCTCCAAGGATGCTTTTATTACAATTTATCTGCCTATAGAGTTGGAGGCTTCTCTCACAGCTGGCGGCCATTCAGTGCCCCTATAAAAAAGAATGGGCAGCACTGACAAAGCTGTGGTAATGGAGTGGAGATGGAGACATCGGTACAGATTTGCCTGCAGAACTTTTACGCAATGTCTCTCCAATGCAAGGCCTCGACCCTTCTTTTCAAGACCGATCTCCACTATTTGCCAGCACTGTACATGATTTAGATCATAGATTGTTTGCAGAAAGTGTTTTTTTATTATTTCAGGAATGTTGAAAGATGGATGTATCTATAGCAAAGAGTTTCAGCATGTCTACTTCCAGCGGATGTAAAGTTCCGGTTATGATCAAAGAGTGCAGAGGATCACCTAATATTACTGTAGTCATTTGCTGCAGCGTCCCCGAGGCAATCTTTTGGTCTGCTCCACCTACTCTTGCCAAGCCAACACACACTGTATTTTCTGTAACTTCTGTAAAAAAACAAAGGATATTAAGGAAGTATGCTTGAAAAAGCTGGTATACTTAGCATAGTTACACAAGAAGTAGTGCTGTTCCCCTCCTCCATATGATGCTGTCACAATAGTGTTGAGATACTTAGGCCTCTGTACAAAGGATGACAGTCATTGGAGGCTATTACAGACAATTCAATACAAAAAGAATCACAGCATAATTTGCAATAGGATGTGGTAGACTTGTTAAGGGACCAGCCCAGGAAGTAAGTTCTTTTTCTGCAAGGTATTTGTGTTGCAGGTTTGAACATCAGTGAGGTAGGTTGCAATTCTCGTGCAGTGACTGAGTGACTACTGTGCCTGGAAAGGTTAGATTGTGCCCTACTGGTAATTTGGGAAGTTGCAGAGAGGCTGCAATCGAAGGAACAGGGAACATTCATGAAATATTTAGAGAAAATTACACTGATTGAAAGTTGTCACAGGATTCTATTTCCAAGTGTTAAGTCTTTTGAGTAAATAATTGCAGCATTATTGTTAGAGGTATTGTTAGTACAAAAACACTGCATCAGGTGAAATTAAGGGGTTAGCAAAGTAAAATAAATTTTCATCATTTTAAAATGCTGTCTTATGGGAAACATGCTGGAAGTGCCCAGGGAATCCAAGGTTGCATGACTCACTGTTCAGCTCTTTCCCTTTATAAATGTCCTTTGTTCTCTTGTGTTGCTGCTTTCGGTGATATAGGGATAGCTAATTCATGCCCCTATACCCTATCGCCTACACAGTATACTGTGCCTCCAATTTTAATCCCAATTAAACAATGTCCCTCTATGAGGTACCGAATGCTCATTGTCATTACATCTACCACATCATGGAAGGCAAATGAATATATATCATACTTATGGGAATTAAGAGCCCCTGGTGGCACAGCGGGTTAAACCATTGAACTTGCTGACTAAAAAGTTGGTGGTTCAAATCCGGGGACCAGGGTGAGCTCCTGCTGTTAGTCCCAGCTTCTGCCAACCTAGCAGTTTGAAAACATGCAAATATGAGTAGATCAATGGGTACTGCTTCGGCAGGAAGGTAACATCACTCTATGCCATGTGACCTTGGAGGTGTCTGCTCTTAGGTTTAGAAATAGAGATAAGCACCACCCCCCAGAGTCGCACATAACTAGACTTAATGTCATGGAGAAACTTTTACCTTTACTTTATGGGAATTATGGTTAAGTGGTAACTGACAGGGAGATGGGGATGAGGCTAAAGCTCTGCTACAAGGATGGAGAAAATGTGGTAGTCTATTGGATGCTGATTGTCATTGACTCTAGCAATGATGACAGGCATCCCAATTCTCCATTACTATCCTGATTCAGTTACTAGAATTTTCTTTCTCAGCCTCAAAGCAATTGTTTTGTAGCAGATAAATTCCCAAGAAGCAAATGAAAGGCAATAACTTTTTTTCTTTCAATGCAGGACAGCGAATAGGGGTCAAAGTAACTCTCTCAAAATACATCTATACAGCCTTGGCATTCTTAAAAAGTTGGTTAACTGAACTTGTGGTTGGTTAGTATACAAGCCAGCATTCTGCAAGCTTCATTTTATCAATTTCACTGTGGATGATGATGTGCGGTAAATGCTTGGGTTCTGTACAAGTACTATCCGGCCAAGTTTAGGAAGGCAAACCTCCATAACAAATTGGGACTCCCCTAACTCAAGCAGTTTTGTAAATAATGCCCTGTTTGAGACAGTTAGCGTAACCTTCTTTGACCTGATGCTTGCCAGATATGTTTGAATAAAATAATATTCCCAGCAGTTTGATGAATATTGATCTCTAAAACCTGGAGTATGATAGACTACATGGGATTTGTGGTCTTGAATTGAACGGGTTTACATACCTGGCTCTTCCCCTTCTTGTTGCCTATTTTGGACAACAGCAAGAAGCTGCTCTGCTGCCTGATTTACCGTCATGTATCGTGGTGGTTCATAAATCTTCTTTCCCCTTAAGGAAGAGAACAAACTAATAATAGTAGGCCAGTACTTGTCCCATCCACCTCTATCAGGTATCCAAGCATAACAATGGCAGTCTGAGTTTAACACTGATTACAAATATATTGCTTTGTGGAATGACATCAAGATCCTAATTTCCATCTCCTCATATGGCAACTCTGATGTCTCTGGTTGTTTACAAGCAGGGCAATTGCTACTGGCTTCTGCTAAGCAGGGCAACTCCCCAAGTGGTGCTAGATGGCAATTCCCAGCCAACAATAAAACTTGGGAAGGCTGTGCCAGAGGTGAGTGCCAAAGCTAGTTTCTACATTTTGTGTTCATCCTTGCATTTTTATGGCAAGGATTACACAATTTCATAAAACCATGAATTAGAAAAGACCTTGGACACTGTCTAATTAGCATATGAAGTGTGATGCATATGTGGTATATGACTCCATTCCCACTTTTTCAGCCCCCTTTCCCTTTAATGTGTTGACCATTCACCTAGAAGGTACTAGGACTACTGCAATGCTCTCTATGTGGGGTTGCCTATGAAGACTAGCCGGAAGCTGCAATTAGTCCAACGCTATACTTTTAACAGGAGCAGGGTACAGGGAGCATACAACTCCCTTGTTGTGCCAGCTCCACTGGCTCCCAATTAGCTTCTGAGCACAATTCAAAGTGCTGGTTTTAACATACAAAACCCTATATAGTTCCGGTCCAGTTTACTTGTCTGAACATATTCCCCCCTATGAGCCATCAAGAGTGCTAAGATCTTCTGGAGAGGCCCTGCTCTCGGTCCCGCCACTTTTGTAGTCGCGTCTGGTGGGAACGAGTGACAGGGCCTTTTCTGTGGTGCCCCCACTGGCTATGGAACTCTATCCTGAATGAAATTAGATCTGCCCCCTTCCCCTTGACCTTTAGGAAGCTAGTGAAAACCTGGCTGTGGAACGAGGCTTTTGCAGAATGATGGCTGAGATCAGTAATTGACCAAAGTTATTTACCACATTATACGGACTGAATTGGACATGATTTTATCTTGGCCAAAGGCTTTTATGTATTTGTTAATTCACGGTTGATGTATGATGTTTTAGATTTTTATTGTTAGCACTGAATTTTTGCTGTCAGCCGGTCTGAGTCCCTCTACGGAGGTAGAAAAGATTGGGATATAAAAGTTTTAAATCAATCGATCAATCAATCAATCAATCAATCAATCAATAAACATGCACAATAACTGCTCACAGGTGGAGCAACTTGGCGTTCTGAATCTCTCAAACAAGACATAGATGTCAAAAACACATGAAAATGTTGACTGAAAATCCTGTGATGTGTCCAAGAGTTATCCAGGGACGAACCCTCCCCACATTGAATTTCCCCAATCTAGTTCTACTTCCTACTTAGTGCAGGTTCTGCAGTACAAGCTACAGCATTCTTGACAGAGACAGAAAAATGTGCTATTCATTGGTAGTCCTTGTTTAGTAGCAGATGGATGCTATCTATGATCTTCTGTGGCCAAGTGAAGATATTGATTTGTTGTGTTTTCCAAATCTTTACATAGCCTTATGAACACATAAAGAACATATATTAACAGGCTGTGTTACTGACCTTAATGCCATAGAACTATATCAGCTGAATAATCTGCTCCCAATAAGACTCTTGCATGTGCCCACATTATATTACAGCCTCTATATGGCTGTACTGAAAGAGTCACCCTAGGAATTATAGCTAGCATAACCAAAACGAAAACAGCTTTCAGTTCTAAGTGAGATGCCACATGGCTACACTATCTCCGCAATACTACCACAGCCCTGTATATTTCTGGACCCTTGTTCATCTATTGTAACGACCACTACACCAGAGAGTGCGCAAGTTGTGCCAAATTGGAAAGGAAGCCTGTCATTTTTCTACGATACACTGTATAGTTACATAATTATAGACCTGAACGCCAGTTCTCAAGAATTGTTTTCTGCAAAGGTTGCCAACTCTGGGACTGGCCAAGCAAAGCTTGTGAAGAAGTTCCAAAATAAATTCCTACCAGAGATTGTCAGACTAAATGAATATGAGTCTAAACCCAAAGTGAGGAGATGTCCAAAAATGAGCTCTGTCTCCATCCAAGAGAATTGGAGAGGGCTAATCAAATTGACAGATCATCAGGAGGTATGGGAGGGTGGAAATAATACCGCAAATGAAATAAATGACTTGATTGCAGAGCTACCCTTCCTTCTTTCCTTCACTTTTGTTATGATTGAGAATGTATGTTGAAACCACAAGAAATGAAACTCTCGAATGAAATAAGCGACCCAGCTTGCTGTCCTATCGTGCTGAAGGAAGAAGACAGATGAAAACAAGTGAACTGTGGATGCAACACAAGAGAAAAAGCAAGCATGGGTCAAATTATTTTGGTGTTTAAAAGACACATTTGCCATGCTCTCCCTCCCAGTCTGTAATCTGCAAGTGATGTTTTACAAACTTCAATATCTTATCAAAGTTATGGACATTTTACATTTGTACTACAACTTTCATCATGGGGAGAGGATTCTAGGAATAGCAGATAAATAAACACTAAAGTGTTGTGGGGAGGTTGTGGGTAGGATTTGGGGGGGGGGAGGTTTTAAAATGTATTTAAATTGTACTATTTAATTGTTTTATTATTATATTTTCTTTCTTTTAAATTGATTAAGTGTGTGGCTGTTAACCTCCTTGAGTCCCCTTGGGTTGTGCCAAAACAACAACAACAACACATCTGGAGAGACAACGTACCTCATGAGATTCTCCACAGATTGCTCCTTGACTTTAATGTCTGTAGGGAAACATAATTGTACATACACTTGAGATCAAATATTATTTTTATTATTATAAGCATTTGGGGTTTTTGGGATTTTTCAGTCTCATGCCAAAAGTTGCATAATGTAGAGCAGTGGTTCCCAACCTGTGGTCCATGGACAACCTGTGGTCCACAAGAACTAAAATATGGTTTGCGGCCTCACTATTACTACACCATTGCAACAAGAGTGACTGGTCTTGCAAAACCCTCTTATAGTTATGCTAAATAGAGCCATGATGGCGCAATGGGTTAAACCCTTGTGCCGGTTGAACTGCTGACCTGAAGATCGGCAGTTTGAATCCGCAAGATGGGGTGAGCTCCCATCTGTCAGCTCCAGTTTCCCATGCAGGGACATGACAGAAGCTTCCCACAGGAGGGCAACACATCCGGGTGTCCCATGGGCAACATCTCTGCAGACGGCCAATTCTCTCACACCAGAAACGACTTGCAGTTTCTCAAGACACTTTGGACACAATAAAAAAAGCTATGCTAAATGAGCAATTAACTGCTAGTTGCACAGAGCAAATAAAAAGAGCCTGCACTTGGACTGCACATCTCACTTGAACTCTTGATCCTAATTATATGATGAAGTCCTCTCAAGGATCAGGATAACTACATTAGATCATCTGTATATTCACACTGCATGGATATATCTACTTCCTCCAAAGATGGAAAAGTATAGGATGTCTCATATGAGCAAACCAGAAACCGCTGCTTCCTTCACTTCCCATAAAATTCATGAAAATTGTTAAGCAGCATATATTAAATAGGCACTTTAAAGGTTTAAAAAATGGGGCAGTATAAGGAATATATGTGTCTAACCTGTTATTATGTCTGATAATAGCACAGAACTTTCCATTTTCTCTCCCTGTGGAAACTCTGCTTGCCTCATTCATCTTATTAATGTCACTTACATACAGCTGAAATTTTCTTTTATACAGCCACAATTTTATCTAATTTATTCTCGCTATTCAGATAAGGTATCTTCAGCCACCACCTTTGGCTCCATCTACACTGCTGTTCAATGCAGTGTAGGGGCAAATGATAATGATAATGCAGATTAACCTGGAATAAATCTGGAAATCAAGATTTATCCCAAGTTTAGAAAACACCTACAAAGATATGGACCTTTCAGTAAGGCCCAAATCTTTGCAGGCGTGAGAAGTAGAGATTGCCTTTGAGATTGCTATCTGCTATTCCAGGGATAGCCCACACTGTCATTCTGCCTCTGCAGGCTCAAGTACTCTGTACAGGAGGGAGAGCAGAGCCATCCTGACAACCGTTTCCTCATTTAAGAAGCAAAGAAAGCTTCTCTACATGTCTCATCTAAATGATGCAGGGAGTTCTCCAGAACTCCATCACAACATTTAGATACAAAACGGAGCCCTCAGAAGCCCCCAGCCTTGGCAAGGAGGCTTCCTTTGCTTTTTAAATGAGGAAACTGGTGCCAACGAGAGCAGGGGACCAGGTAGCTGTGCCCACCCATGCCAAAGCTAGTTTGGCATGGATCAGGGTCTAGCCACCCCTTGCCAAAAAGGCTACCGGTTGGCCCCCTGCGTGAATTCAAATTTATAAGAAATTCCATGCAAATTTGGACCAGTGTACATGGGCCCTTTATAAGTGCAATTTATGGGTTAGCCGATTGCTTATACTTCTCCTTTACATGTTAGAGTTCCAGACAGTCATTGTGGGGCAATGGTTACTGCGCTGGACTGGAATTTAGGCAATTCATGTCTCCACTGAACCATGAACCTCCCTCTCACCATGATCTATCTCACAGGGCTGATGTGCAGAAAAAGGAAAGAGGGGGAAAGATACACACACACACACCCCGTATGCATTCAAGCATAAGCCCCCTCAGATTATACTTGAGTCAAGGTTATTTATTATTTTACTCTGTTGTTATTATTATTATTATTATTATTATTATTATGTTTATTATTTTATTCTATTATTATTTTTATTACATTTATTATTTTACTCTATTATTGTTATTATTGCATTTATTATTTTATACTATTATTATTACATTTATTATTTTACTCTATTATTGTTATTACATTTACATTATTTTACTTTATTTAGTATTGTTATTATTTCATTTATTATTTTACTCTATTATTATTACTACCTTTATTATTTTACCCTATTATTATTATTATTATTATTATTACATTTATTATTTCTCTATTATTATTATTATATCTATTATTTTACTCTATTGTTATTATTACATTTATTATTTTACTCTATTGTTACTGTTATTATTACATTTCCATTATTTTACTCTATTATTATTATTTTTATTACATTTATTATTTCACTCTATTATTATTGGAAGGATAAGTAAGCAGATTTACATTGAAGGTGGTTAGAATAATGGTTTAATCAAAGTTGCACAGTCTTATCTTAAATTACAGTTTTATGTAGATATTCAAAAACATTTAACCTAGTGATGCCACAATTAATGTAATTTTATTGGTATCTATTTTTATTTTGAAATTCACCAGTAGCTGCCACCCTTGACTTATACTTGAGTTAATACATTTTCCCAGTTTTTTGTGATAAAATTAGGTGCCTCGGCTTATATTCGGGTCAGCTTATACCTGAGTATATACGGTCTCTCTCTCTCTCTCTCTCTATATATATATCTTCTTGAGATTATTGAGGAGAAAAACTAGAAATGTAACTAATAAACAATTGCCAAAATCTGATACTCAGAGACACAGTTATAATGGGGATGCTCAGTCATTGTAGCTACATCTCATGCTATGCACAAAAATCTCTCTTTGAAGCAGGCACACTCCCAACAGAAGGACTTCCGAGGTGCTGGAAAGCAGGACACTGACTGATGACATGTCTAGCTCTCTTCTGGACATGTGGTGCGATGAAACAAGCAACTGTGGGAGGATGTCACAGATGTCCCTGTTATATCACGTCTCATGCCAGCAAATAAGCAGATGCTTCATTGCTCAGTGTCTCATTCTCCAGCAACTTGGAAATCCTTCCATTCAGGGTCTGCCTAGCTTCAAATGTTGATTCCTAGGGAGTTTTAGGTAGGGAGTGATTGTTAATGGCAAAGGTACCATGTCATATATTCACATTATGCCATCACAAAGAGACAATAATAAGACAATAATGCAGAATGTTTGCAAAAGCAAAACAAAAGGATGTGCTGTTCATTTGGTTGAATTAATCAATTATTTAATTAAAACCCGAAGTCTCTCCCTATTTGTACTATTTCCGGTTTCCACTCTCTCTGAAGCTATTTTAAAAAAGAAATTAAAACAGGTCTCCTAAAACAACAAACTGTAAGCTATAGGAAGCTATAGTGAAATTTATCTCACTGCAGATAACATTTCATGATTTTTAAAACTCCCATCTTCTTCTCAAAAATATCCCCAAAGCCTATCATCAGTATAGTTGGAATCGCTTTCCAAGCATTTCAACAGCTTGAGAATATTCCTGATGTATAAATTGTTTCCAGACCCCAATGCTTAAAGTAATTATGTGTCTGTATTCCAACTGATTATATGCTGGCAAATGTTCCTTCCAACACATAGAGGGAAACTGTTTTGACCTGGAGGATTGGGGACACGGTCCTGAAACCAACAATGTGGAAAGTTATTGAGATCCTCCAAGCACTATTTGCTTGTAGGAGCTCACATGTTTTTTTTTAAAAAGGCTTAAATATAGTAAATTTACAGACAACCTGCCCAATTGGGTGAATATTTCCATTTAAGCTGCAACTGAGGATCTTGCCAATTAGGGTAGGGAACCCTCATTCTTAGAAATCATCTTCAGTATATAAACAACAGTGAATGACATAATTTCTGGCTAATTGCATTAGTCGGACTGGCGTCGTAAAGTGAAAATTTCACATGCATTTTTTGTACATGTGTAGAATCTTGCTAAGCCTGGGCGTTTCATATCTGAAAAGGTCTGTACAATCTTGCTTTGCTGCAAAGGCCTCTGTTTTCTATTGGTTTAATTCTTGGGCTTTAAAGAACAGAACAACAAACCAAGAGTTTGTCAGGGAAAAGCTCAACATTTGTCATACTGCTGTTAAAGGGCAAGACTGGGAACTCTAGCAGAGAAATGCCCTGGCTAATAATTTGATTTCAAAATGCAGCATTTCTGTTAGCTGGCCCGTGATCCACCTCTTAAATGGCTAGGGCCAACCTTTGCTGGGATCTCCTAGTTGGAAAGCAAGACAGAGCAACATTATTTATGTCTACTCAGATGTGAGACTCACTGAGAACGGGACTTACTTTCAGTCAGGAAAAAAGTTGGACAAGTTAGCAGGCTGGCACACTTCAGCTCTTTTTTCTTCCCCCCTAGAGAGTAGTTCCCAAACAGTGGTCCGTGGACAACCAGTGGTCCACAAGAACTAAAATATGGTCCGCGGCCTCACCATTACTACACCATTGCAATGTTCCACGGACCACGCCCCCTTCCTCATGGCCATGCGCTCATGACGTGAAGGCGATAGAAAGCCATTAGGGACAGTTCTTTTAGGTCTTGTGCTCTGCTTTTTATATATTTTTTCCAACTTCAGCCCCCTCCCTTTCTTTTCTTTTTTTTACACAAGCATTAACAAAATTCATGGATAATAATACAACCAAAACAAAAAGGCCTGCGTGTCTTCATTTTTAGGCCTGTTCCTGGGGTTATTTGGGCGTGCTGACTCAGAAAATTGCATTGGATAAACCACATCAGCTCTAGACTATGAAATATGATTTTCTGTTGGCGAGCAGATGGCAACTACTGGATGGCATATGTTCTACATCAGAAATTAGAGCTGATGTGGTTTATCTAATGCAATTTTCTGAATCAGCACCCCAAATAACCAAACCGAATCTAAAGGTGACCAAAAGCTAATTCATAACCCTTTTGGTAACCCTTGAGTCACCCATTGGCTGAGAAAGGCGGTATACAAATACAGCAAATAAATAAATAAATAAATAAATAAATAAATTGGTACTAATGTTGGAGAGTCGTCCCTGGTCAAGTGGTCCCTGGTCAAAAAAAGGTGGGGAACCACTGCCCTAGAGATAATAGTCAACTGCAATGTCACAGGACTAAAAGATGAATTTCCTATATTTATCGCAATCTAACAGGAATAATTCCATTAAACTACTCTGCCTTGGGTTGAAAGACTGAGGAATGGAATGAATATTCCTCAAAGGAAGATACAAAAAACAAACTCTGCACAAAAGAAGGAAAACTATGGTTAGCTAAACTGCTTTTCATGACATCCTACTTATCTCCTACTTTTCATGACTTTCCTACTTATACAGGAAAGTATACGGGCGATTCAGAGTTTTAAAATATTGGAGTTCTTTACATATGGTGCCTTCCTTCCTACAGCTTGAAGGCAAAATGGTGAAGTTGTAGGGTGACAGAACATGGAAAGTGTCATTCCAGGTAAAGCTTTACTGCAATTTTGCTGAAGATATAAACTGGACTCCTCAATTTATTTTTCATGTGATTATCTATATGGGGCTTGATTTGCTTTGAGAAATACAGTATTAGTATGCTTATTATGTGAGCTCATAGAATGTGACTTCATTTGCACATGAAAAACTTTGATTATCGTAGAATTGCTCTAAAGGACCAAGGGATGTCTAGTTCTCTAGCATCAGAAAATGACCATTATTATTAATTGATACACAACAAGATTGGTATACAGCAAACTAGATCACTATGTTGACTTTTGTATTTGTTCACGTCGGACACTTCCCAAGTGTCTAGGACTGTGTGATGTATCAGCAAATAATACATGCAGATCCAAGCAGGGTGGCTTTTTATAGCTGACACACAGTAATTTTGTCAGTGCTGATAGTTTTTAAGTGCAGGTCAAGGTGTTTAGGCACTGCACCCAGTGTGCTGATCATCACTGGGACCACCTTTACTGGCTTGTTCCAGATTCTTTGGAGTTTGATCTTTAAATCCTCACATCGTGTCAGCTTTTCCAGTTGTTTCTCATCAATTCTGCTGTTGCCTGGAGTTGCAATATCGACAATCCACCCAGCACAAATCTCAACATCACAGAAGCAGTTAAGCCCCCCCCCCCGCCCCCACGGCAAGGCGGCACTCGATGGGGGAATTATTATTATTATTATTATTGTTGTTGTTGTTGTTGTTATTTGAAACACAACAAGATGGGTCCACAGCAAACAAGATCATTTTGCTGGCTGTTGTATTGGATCACATGTCGGACACTTCCCAAGTGTCTAGGACTGTGCGATGTATCGGTGAATAATGCGTGCAGATCCCAGTAAGGTGGCCTTTTGCAACTGGCAGATGGTAATTTTGTCAGCGCCGATTGTATTTAAGTACAGGCCAAGGTCTTTAGGCACTGCACCCAATGTGCCGATCACCACTGGGACCACCTTTACTACCTTGTGCCAGCGTCTTTGAAGTTCAATTTATTATTATTACTACTATCATCTTTATTTATATCCCGCAACCATCTCCAAAAAGGGACTCAAGGTGGCTTACAAAAGCACGTAATAGTGCTGCAGGAACATACAAAATAGAGTAAAATATATAAACAGTTATAAAACAATACCAATATTAATTAACAGAATTGTGCCAAAGGCCTAGAGAGAACACTCCTCTGAACATTTTCTAGGTCCTTCAGAGCAATTCTATCATACTGTGTATTTATGGGTGTATTACAATTTAAAAATAAAAAAATATTTAAAAAATATTATGCGAACTGTCCTAGAATTGATCCCTTAATATGTAGGCCTACTGTACCAGCTAGATGAGAATAGAACAGAAATGTATTCAAACGAGGCAGAAAAAAATCACTTTTGAATAAAAACTTTCCTTCCTAAAATTCTCTACAAATATTTGCCCCTAAATATATTGCAGTGACAGCTTGAGGAGGAGGAGAAGAGAAAGGCTAGATTGGATTTGAGAGGAAGGCAACTTCCTATTATCTAAATCCAGATTCTCTCGCTGTCTCCCTTGGCTACAGCTCTTAAAAGGAAAATATGCTTGGAATGAATAATCACAGAGCAATATATTGTTTGGATTGAGGGACTGAGCCTTTGTCATCCTTTTCAGCTCTCGGCATGGCACCTGGGTGCTTCAGTTCGCATAAGCTAAATGTGACACTTGACCACACACAACACAAGTAATCCTTACCAAGTAAGCAGAGTGTGTGCATCCCGTTTCTTCGGTTTTTTGTAATCTTGTCAAAAAAGCTCTCAGGTTTCCATGTGTCTGTCCAGAAAACTATAGATACTGTTTCTCCAAAATTGTAGAGCTGTCATAAATTTATTGAGGAGTGGTGGTGGGAGAGAAAAGATAAAGAGAGAAAAAGAGAAGAGCGGAAATCAAAATCAGATTGCAGTTAGTAAAAGAATATAAAATCTGGCTGTAAACCATGTACCAATGTGGGATTTCCATAAGGACAGAAATACGATTATTCCCCCACGAATAGATAATTTTTTGGGGATTAATGATTTCCTTGAAACTTCCTGAATACGCTAGAATTCTTTTTCTGGCTTTCTATTTGCCAATTTGTACTATTTGCTCATTCCAGGTATTTTTGAAACCCATAATCCCACATCTTTGTTTACCACAGAAGAAAGAGGCTGCTATTCGTTTTCTGTCCTTAAAGCAAAAATGCATGTTTGGAAAATAATGGAAAACTTTTAAATCTTGATGCCAAAGGACGGGTGACACAGAAGTTTCTGCTCTGGCTTGTGATGCAAAGATAGGTTTGAAAGCATGCTTGATGTTAATGTCATCTCAGGCCACTTCCACACAGCTGAATAAAATCCCACATTATCTGCTCTGAACTGGGATATATGGCAGTGTGGACTCAAATATTCCAGTTCAAAACATATATTGTGGGTTACTCTGCCTTGATATTCTGGGTTATATGGCTGTGTGTAGTAAGAGCCCTCAGAAGCATTGCCTAGGGGATCACCACATCTGTTGCCACCTTGCCTACACTTACCTAGAAGGAATTCACATATAGAGAAGCAGTATAGTGTAATGGTTTGAGTGTTGGACTTGAACTGGAAGCCCACTGGGCAACATTGGGGAAATCACCCTTTCTCAGCCTCAGAGGAAGGCAAAAGCAACCCCTCTCTGAGCAAAACTTGTCAAGAAAACCCTGTGATAAGTTCGCCTTAGAGTCCTTGTAAGTTGGAAATAAGTTGAAGGTACACAGCAACAGAATCGACATTAAAACCAGTAAAGATTACTTCCAAGTAATAGTTGAGGATTGCATTATACTATTTCTTGCACCAGGAGAGTAAAATTTTATGAGGAAACAGCAACAATTGCCTCATTCAACATTTCCATGATAGATAATATCAAAATTTATGACTGACACACATCAGGCTCATATTGAATGGGACAGGCTTTAGCACAGCTGGTAAATCACCAGCAATGATAAGATCTACCAACCTAAAGGTTGCAAGTTCAAAACCCCAGATTGGTGTGAGCACCTGACTGTCACAGCCCAGCTTGCTGTTTACCTAAGCAGTTCGAAAACAGCTTGAAATGTAAGTAGAGAAATTAGGTACCACTAAAAAACAAGTGGGTGAGGTATTTTACAACACCATAAAGAAAAACATTGGAAAATTCCCAGTGACCAAAAGGAAGGAGGAAGTTCTAATGGCTCTTCATCATAGAGGATGGAGCGACAGCATCCCCTTGTGGCTGGATTCGAGCACAACCTCCAAGGCACCAAAAAGTTGGACGTTGACATAACATTTCTCCTTTCTGTTCTGTTTCTGTCCTGTCTATCCAAAACTGCACTGAATGTTTGTTATGTATCTGTACTCTGATACGCATTGAATCCCCTTGGGGAGATAGGGCGGAATATAAATAAAGTGTTATTATTATCTTATGTCACAAAAATAATCTTCACTATTAAATATGCTAATGATCAATGGAGACAACTCTACTGGTAGCTTTTAGTGTCTTGAGTTGACTGCTTAGTCCTTTTCAGGATGTCTGTTTTTCAAGAACACATGTTCAAAGTCACTGGGAGGAATAGCTTACTGACCTATCCATTAAACTATTATTCTCAGGAATGCTTAGGACATCAGAGGGTTTGTCATAGGAATACACATGAGAGGCAATCACAGCTGACTACAGCTTCCCACTAATTTGACTTATGTCATGCATATACTTTGCTGCAATGTGCTTGCTTCATACATTGCACTGAATCCAAAGGATGAAAAGCAGAAGGAAGAAATTGCGATGTTGTGAGGTTACATTACAGCTGTGTGAAAAAGATGAATATGAAGGGTTGAAGCTGTAAAGTGCACAGGCTATAAGGGGAGGCTGAAGGGACGTTGGGTCATACTGTCAGATCTCTGGGGAACACCCATAGAACAGGAAGGATTTCTGAAGCTCACTTGCTTAAGAACAACAGAAATTAAATGACTCCCCTTCACAAACCAAAATGATGCTGCTAAAACTAAGAAAATAAAGCATAACTAGAGGTGGGATTCTGTATAGGAGAACTAGGGAATTATTTCAGTTCTGGGCCAGAATTCTCAGTCATATAGGATAACAAAACAAAGGGTTACGTGAGCATTTTCAGTCAGCATTGTGCAAGGGTGTGTCTAGTAAATCATTGTACAAACGGTTTTCCCAGCTTGTGGGACTATTGCTGTCTGGTGCAGCTCCACCTCCAAACCGACTGGCTAGGTTCATGGACATCCTTCTCTTAGACCAGTGGTTCTCAACATGGGGTCCCCAGATGTTTTTGCTCTTCAACTCCCAGAAATCCAAACAGCTGGTAAACTGGCTGGGATTTTTGAGAGTTGTAGACCAAAAACATCTGGGGACCCCAGGTTGAGAACCACTGTTCTAGACCTTTGTGTAAGTGTGTTTGTGTAATCCACAAACCTATAGAAAGATATTGTGCAAAGTTGTGCATAAGAGTGTTGATGAGGACAATATCTCTATACCTGAGTAGAATTCAAAGACATTATAGTGTTGGTCTAGAATAGGCACAGGCAAACTTTTGGCCCTTCAGGTGTTTTGGACTTCAACATCTTCCAATAGGCTGTTAGGAATTGTGGGAGGTGAAGTCCAAAACACCCAGAGGGCTGAAGTTTGCCCATGCCTGGTCTAGAATATTAGTATTCAAAGGGATATTGATGCATCTAAGATAATCAATTTGGTAGCCTTTACACCTGACATTACTCTTATAATGTCGCCATATCCATAAGGTCAGAAGCACCTCCTGTGTTATTGGACAAGATTTCCTGCTAAGTTGGAAGACTACATTTTCATTTTGGTCATAACACTGAAATATTTTGTATTTATAACTCAAATTGCATTGTATGAACGTGATGGCTAGGCTCTGCAAACAGAAAAACTCATCAGGGAGCCAGATTAGGTTTCAGCAACCTCTCAAATGTATGCTCAGAGGAAAGCTCATATTTATTGTTATGTAATGTGTGGAACTGATCTCAGTGTACACTGGAACATCTTGGGTATACAGCTGGATGTCAAAATGCATAAAATGGCTTTAACCAAAAAGATGGGAGGTATTTGCACAGATGAGGGAAACCTAGGCTGAACTTTACGAAACCCTGTGGAAGAGAGAACAGTCCTTCTAGTGTCTTTCAACAGCAAAGGATATCCAAGTAGTAAGATTGTGTTGGCTATTTAGGACTGTTTTACTATTTGTCATACATTTCAGTTCTGATTTCCCTTCCCCAGCTCAAGTTTGTTTGACAGATACCTATACTTTGGTTATTTTCAATTCCCAGTCAGCACTATACAATTCCAAGAAAGAAGACCATGTCTTGGAGGAACAGCCATAGCTTCAGGGCTCATGCTCTACCTATAGAAGTTTCTACCATCTCCATGTAGGGCTGGGGGAAAACCCCCCAACTGAATCCTTGGAGAGCTGCTGTCAGCACTGTAAACCACAAGGAGATGACCCACAATCCTCCACAAACCCATAAAAATGGATCAGCTGACAGGAAACTATGTCACAACTACAGAGTGTAAGATCTTTAGTGTTGTTTTGATGCGACTTTAGGCACACACAATCTGTAGCATGAAAGTTATCTTAAATTCAACTACAGAGAATATATGTCTGGAATGGGATAGGAATTATGTTCTAGGTCTTACATTCCATCAGGGGGATACTTGTGGGTGCGAACTAGACATCGCCTTGCACAATGGTGTTAGAAACACTTCCGGGGCCAAATCTGCTTTGCCATACTACATAGGGACCCTTCTGCATCATGCCATCATTTGCACCATTTTTGTATATTTCCCACTTCATTCTAAAGTGCCAAAAAGCTCCCCTCATGCTTACTTACTGGCATGATAGATGAAATATTATATCATTGATCCACACTTTTTTCCTTTGGACTCATGCTTCCCTAGAACTTAGACCCCGCACAAAAATTTTCTGAACCTGAGTACAATCACCAGGAATAGAGTTTCCTTATACCATTGCACATCTTTGCATACAAGGTTGCTTCCGATGTTCAGGTCCCCTAGAACAGAACGATCTCTTGCTGCTTCTTGGAATGTTGCGCAAAACCTCTATTTAAATAAACCACTCGGGTAAACTAGCGAGAGAACAAGCAACACAGATTTTGCATTTCACAATCAAAAAGGCTCTGCCTGGAACTCAAGCAGAAGAAGAAAGTTACTGAAAATAGGGAGAAAGGTCAAGATGCAATCTCTTAACCCTTTGATGCCCTGTGAAATCTTTGGCTTTCTTACCCCACCCTCACCACCTAAAGCTAGCAAATGCTTCAGATATAGGTCAAGTGAACAGGAAGTTTAAAAAGGGCAACTGATTTAACATTAAAGAGGCACATATAAGCTCAATTGATAAGCAAAGCTTGACATTTTTAACAGGAAAGCATACAGAAAACATTGGGCAGGAAATATGGGAACAAATAGGGAGGAGGAATCTGGGATGCTGCAAAAAACATAAATATGACAGTTACTATGAAAGTAAATTCAGATAAAATGACCAAGAATATTGGAGCCCAAAGGACTGAATGGTCAGTCTCCAAGAACCTTGGACAGATCTAACACTTGTAGAGTCTTCTTTCCGTTTTGTTTGTTACAAGAATCCTTGAAAGCTGATACTCAACAAATTAAAGGCGAAATAATTGCCTCAGTTAATAGAAAAACGACGTATTTTGAAGCTATGGAGAAGAAATGTGTAGGGTTTCCAATGAAAATACCCATTTCACACCACTTTGAGAGTAGCAATGAGGTAAAGATAATTTCTGTTTCAGAAATCCATATAGGTTTATAGACATGTTGTGTATTCTGGGAAGGATGTGCATGATTAAATATATAAACAAACATATTTTAAGGAATGGTGTCTATCCACAATTTTTATTTTTATATATATATATATATATATATATATATATATATATATATATATATATATATATTCATTCTATCATACAATGCATCCAAAACCAAAATGTTAAAAAAAGGAATAGGAAAATATGTACCTTAGTAAATACGCAAAAGGACAAGTAATGCACACAGACTTCTCTATATGTGGGAATTCTCACATCTCAGTACAGAACTGGGGTGGGACAACAAGAGTTAAGAAGTCCACTGAAAACCAGACTGAGATTTTCACATCTCTATTTATTTATTTAACACATTTATATCCTGACTTTCTCAGCCTGAAGGCAACTCAAGACGGCTTACAAGTTGGCAGCAATCTAACCATGTGAATGTGTCAAATGCTGTCTGAGAATCGATCAAGATAAAAGATTTTGGTGGCTGCTCACATGGAACACTCTTCACTGGAAATACACTGAACATTGAGTGTTTTTCTCAGAAAGGGATGTCTGACATTTCTACATGACTGCCTTTCTCTGAGACACAGCTGAGGAGGTGGGGAGTCATGTTTTAGTACATATATCATGCTGCAGTCATTTTAGTTTTTATTATGACAAAGAAAAAAATTAGGAGTAGTATTATCTCTTTTATACTGCACTCAAATAAAAGAGCAGAGAAAAATGAAAAAAAATTAACTGTCATATGCCAACAGCTTCTCAGAAATCAAGAAGCCAACCTCACAAAACATAGGTCTCTATTTTTGTAAAATCCTTTCCCAGAATGATTGATGCATTAGCTGTAATACTGAGTAGCTATCTCTTTGATCATTTACCTGTTCATTTAAAACATGCTTCACTTTCAAGAGTCTCCAGAGCCAATTACAGAATCAAAAAACTGGAAAAGAGGCAATTGTAGAACTGCAATCATTAACAAAATGAACAAGCAGCAAATAAAATTAGTGTAACATCAGCTAATGAAACCAATTAATTTAGTAAAATTTAGCAGAAGCAATTTATTTAACAGCTCCAAAGAATAAAATCTCTGTAACCTAATAGCTAAACACCCGAAATTGATCATACTAAGATAAGCACTTCTTTTATTTCTCTGAAATCAGTATGCAGCCTTCAAAGGTAGTCTTCCATACCTTTTATTTCACCAGTCTAGCTGGTAACATTAACAGGACATGAATAGTCAGGCTATCTCGGTCCAAGAGCAATTTTTTCAGCTCATTAGCATTTGGGCCTTGAAAAGTTGATTTTTTTGGGGTGGGGGGTGGGAATGCAACCCATCCAGAACGGTTGGATGCCATCTATTATTATTATTATTATTATTATTATTATTATTATTATTATTAATAAACTTTACAGAAGTTTATTCACTCTCTAGTCCAGGGGTCCTCAAACTAAGGCTCGAGGGCCGGATACGGCCCTCCAAGGTCATTTAAGTGGCCTTTGCTCAGGGTCAACCAAAGTCTGAAATGATTTGAAAGCACACAACAACAACAACAATCCTATCTCATCAGCCAAAAGCAGACCCACACTTCCCATTGAAACACTAAGAAGTTTAGAGTTGTTAAAATTGTTCATTTTAATTATTGTATTGTTTTTAAGTGTTTTTTGCACTACAAATAAGATATGTGCAGTGTGCATAGGAATTCATCGTCCTTTTTTCCAATTATAATCTGGCCCTCCAACAGTTTGAGAGACTGGGACCTAGCCCTCGGTTTAAAAAGTTTGTGGACCCCTGCTCTAGTCTATAAGTGCCCAACAGCAACAGAGCGGTACATCCATGCTTGACGTTTAGGATGGTATTGACATGTTCCCTCATTTGTGCCAAGTATTTTATCCCACTTATCATCTCAAATATCTCCAGAATAAGGGCTCCACAAAATTCAGCAACCAGACAAAGATCATGCTTGGTTCTCTCTCAGTTTGGACCATATGCGTATATGTATGGGTTCTCATTGATGTTACACTGTACTCAAGAAATGGACTCAAAAACCACAGAGCCCCTAGACCTTTAAACATAAATGGCCTTGATATCACAACCGCTGCTTTCCCCGACAGAAGGAAACTACCAGATTCAGCTCGCCTTACGTATGTTTTTTTAAAAAAAACCATAAAGGTGTTTCCTGTTTTTCACTAGTGGAGTATGAGCCTGTGGCACCAAGATTATATCACAGAGAGAAACAGAGAGGGGCAGAGAGGAGGGACAGAGAAACACACTTTTACTTATTCATAAGAAGTGCGTAACTTTTGCAACTATTTGTACAGCCTTGCAAGCCAGGTGTCTTTTCTATTTTGCAGAAAAATGGTTAGAGCTGTGGTTTCGGCAGAATGCCATCATGCAAAAGATTTACCTGTAAGCCGCAGCAGCCGACAGCATTTAGAATAGAGGCATTGTGGATGACTTGGTAGGGAATCCCAAGCTTCACTGCCCGGAGTACAAGGTCACTATGTGTAGTTGCCCTGGAATGAAATAGTAAGAATTACTGTTGGTCTTCTTCCACAATACAAGAAATAAGATATACTTGTAGTTGCTGCTCTATATGTTTTGAGAGTGGATTGGTCAAAGCCACTCTCAAATGTTGGTATGAACATCAATCTTTTCCAGTTCATGTAATCCTCCAAAGACTCTTGAGTGGGCAGAAAGTATCTATCCATAGATTGCCAAATTACTTTGTGTACAGTGACAGGAAGTTACGCTCTGAGCTTGGAAAAGTTACTCTTTTTGTTGCAACTTGCAGAAACTGCAGGCCATTCTGCCTATGCAATATGGAGAGCTCTAACTTTCCCATGCTCTGACTCCCAATTATTTTACAACTAGCTTGGGGACCCCGCGGTGCCCGGGTTATTAGAAGAAGGCATTGTTTGTTTTGGGATGTTAGGTAATATCACTGAAGTTTGGTCCATTCCTCTGTTTGTTGTGTGCCATAGGAAAGAGTAGGAAAGCGTTAAGGGAGAGGCCGTGGGTGGGCTCATGCAAATTCCACACCAATGGAGAGATAAAGGAACCCTGGGATGTGGAGGAAAAACAGAACATCTAGGATGAATTTGTCCCCATATGAAAGCTTTCCCTTGGGTGGGGGCCGTATGGTGTTTGTGGAGGACACTGGCAGAGTTCGGGCTATATGTTAATGGCGCTCACTATAACTTGCAATGTCAGTGGAGGTGTGAGTCTGTCTGTGTAAGTAGACATCTCTGCCACATACACACATACACACTTTCACTTTATTTTATCTTTATTTATAACATTTGTATCCCACCCATTTCAGCTCAAAGGGCGGCGTACAAGACTCAGGGCAGCGTACAAGTCAGCAACAATTAGATGCCATATATAAAAATACATACATCAATAAAAAGCAAAACATCACAATAAATTTAAAAAACCATAAAAGCAATAAATAATAAAAATTATAAAAACTATGTCTTCTTGTTCAAATCCTCAATCGTTCCATCATCTTAGCCATTCCTAGTTCATCTTTCGATTTGGGTTTTTCTGATCATGGTGTGGTTCCAAACGCTTGCTCAAATAGCCAGGTATTTACTCTTTTTTGAAAGATCAGGAGTGAGGGGGCCGATCTAATATCCCTAGGCAGGGAGTTCCACAGCCGAGGGGCCACCACAGAGAAGGAGCTTTCTATCGTCCCCGCCCAAACGTGCTTGTGAAGCAAGCGGGATCGAGGGCAGGGCCTCCTCAGATTATCTCAAGTTCCTGGAGGGTTCATAGGGAGAGATGCGTTCGGATAGATAAGCTGGGCTGGAACTGTTTAGAGCTTTATAGGCTGAAGTCAGCACTTTGAATTGTGCCGGGTAGCAATTTAGCAGCCAGTGGAGATGATGCAATAGCGGAGTTGTATGCTCCCTGAGTGCCACTCCCGTTAGTAACCTGGCTCCTGCTATACACTTTTATTATGTGTATAGAGAGCAACCATAAGATGCCATCCTCCCCCAACTAGACATCACTTATGTGTATGGGTGCATCTATACTGTAGAATCAAGGCAGTGTGACACCACTTTAACTGTTATGGCTCAATGCCACGGAACCATGGGAGTTGTGGTTTTACAAAGTCTTTAATCTTCTTTGTCAAAGAGAGTTGGCCAGGAATCTATAGTATTGAGCCAAGGCATTTACAAGTGGTGTGAAGCTGCATTTCCAGCAGATCTGTTTGCCACAAGGATATGGATTTGGTGTTTCACTCTTATCCTGAAAGACTGTGGTAAAAATGGGTTCTGGTTAGCCTTTGCCCAAGGTTTTAATAACAACAATACCTTGTGCAAGCATTCTGGTGCATACATTGAGTTCACACTCCCAAACTTGGTTAGAGAAGGATGATGGAATTAATTTCATGTTATTATTAATCATCAGTTGTACTCATGAACTGTTTTCTGCTTACCAGGGCTAACAAAACGATGCCAAAATCAACAGATTCTTTCGTGGTTAAAAACAGAACAAGAACAATTTTTAAAAAGTCAATTTACAAAACAGCTTTAAAAATCTGACTCTATGTGGAATAATAGTTTTGGCCACCTGACAGAAGATTAATGAGGATGAAGCCAACCAGATCTCCCTTTGGAGACAGTTCCAAATTTTAGTCTAAATATTAGCGGGGGAAAAATCCTAACAGCTTGAACTGAGCTTCCATAGACAGAATTCTCCCTCTTCTGTTATAGGATAAAATGGAAGAGCACTTTAAGGCTTGTGGATTTGGGCTACCTTATCCCCCTCAGTAAAGGCTTCATTTATAAAGCTTGTCAAAAGCAAATTGAGAATACAGTTATAATGTATAGAAAAACCACAAAGTTAAAAACTTGGCATTATACTAAATTTCCTTGGAGTGCCTCTGGTCTCACTGTAAGAAGGTCCTCCATTGTGCATGTGGCAGGGCTCAGATTGCATTGTAGTAGGTAGTCTCTGGTTTGCTCTTCTCCACACTTGCGTGTCGCGGACTCCTTTTTGTAGCCCCATTTCTTAAGGCTAGCTCTGTATCTCGTGGTGCCAGAGCACAGTCTGTTCAGCACCTACCAAGTCTTCTGTGTGTCCAGGGGGGAGTTTCTCATCTGCTATCAGTCACTGATTGAGGTTCCTAGGTTTTAACCTGCAACTTTTGGACTCTTGCTTGTTGAAGTGTTCTTGCGAGTATCTCTGTAGATCTAGGAAGATATTTCTTGATTTAGGTATTGGCTTGCTTGCTGATATCTGAACAGAGGATGGGCTGGAGATGTCAGTGCCTTGGTCCTTTCATTACAGGCTGCTACTTCCCAACAGATGTCAGGTGGTGAAATACCGACTAAACAGTATAATTTTTGCAGTGGTGTAGGGCATAGACATCCTGTAATAATGCAGCATGTCTCATTAAGAGCCACATCCATTGTTTTAATGTGGTGAGATGTATTCCACACTGGGCATATGTACTCAGCAGTAGAGTAGCAAAATGCAAGGGCAGATGTCTTCACTGTATCTGATTGTGATCCCCAGGTTGTGCCAGTCAGCTCACATATGATATTATTTCTAGCTCCCGCTTTTTGCTTGATATTCAAGCAGTGCTTTTTCTCAGTAGAGGTGAAGGAAAGAAGTGAGGAGCACATAGGAAAAGCTTTTCCCTATATCAGTCGTTAGCATATAAAAAGAATATTGGAGGTAACTATAGAAAATTAAACATATCATGGAAAGTGATATGATCTCATTGACAGCCATGGGTTTATCTACAATGTAGAATTAATGCAGTTTGACACCACTATAACTGCCATGGTTCAATGCTATGGACTCCTGGAAGTTGTAGTTTGGTGAGGCACCAGCACTCTTTGGCAGACAAGCCTTAAAATCCCATGATACCATAAATTAAGCTATGGTGTCAAACTGCATTCATTCTACAATGTAGATATATCCCATAACACAGCTCCACTGCACTGCTGCCATCGCTATCTTACATGTCATAATTGCTGGAAGAAAACAGAAGTGCTCAGGGCTATAATAAAAATTCACTGAAAAGAAACAAATCTTTAAAGTGTGAGGACTTTTATATGTTCTTGGACTCTAGTCCCCATCAGAGCCATCCAGAATGGCCAATGATCAGGGATGGTAGAAGACAGAGACCAACAACATCTGTTTCTCACCACTATCAAAGGACACAAATGCACACAATAGCTTTTTGGGCAACCTTATAGTTGGGGGAGATAAGTGATGAGCTTTCTCTGCATTACAGCCCTTCAAGGTTCATGTGAATGTAGTTGATTGCAATGTCCTGTTGTATAGGAAGGAATCCTGAATTCCATCAAGACACAGAAAAGTTACAGACTTAAAAGGTTTAAATGTGAATTGGTGGTTTGTGTGTGTGTGTGTGTGTGTGTGTGTGTAGGGGTGAACACACTCAAAAACCTCAACAGATTACCCTCTGGAAAGTTGAAATTTAACTTAAAGCTGAAATGCAAATGGCTGCAGTTTTCAGCTGCAAGGCTTTGCACTTATGTTAGCCTAGTCTGGTTAACACCCTCTAAAAATCACAACAGCTAACATTTTACTTTTAATGAAGCCCTTTCTCTGTTTTTCACTTCAAAAATAAATGTTTTGTTTCTTTATCTTACCAAGGACTTCAGGATGTGTGTTGACTAGCAAACATAACATCTACCTAGTGCAAAGTACAACCCTGGCATAAGTCCAACACTCCCTTCATTGTTGTGCAGATATGCTTTGTGCAATTGTAAGTGGCAGACTTTGTATGCACGGTCTGCATTTGTACAAATCTGTAAAATGATTGTTTTCCCCATCATATTCAAATTTGGTATTCAAAAGAACTTCAGGAAGTGTGGATAGTACCTCTCAATAGCACTATTGCCGACACAATATAATCTTTCAGCTTCTCTGCATGAAACGGAAGGTTGTCAGAAGTCAAGGGAATGGTACTCAAGTGTACAAACAACCTACAAATGCAAGCTCAAATTGGCAATTCAGTGAGAGAGCTGCAGGGCCTGTTCAAACATTTAACAAATTATGTGTGAGCTCATCTGACTCTAAATTGATATGGTTGGATAGGGTAAGAGATAAGCAAAAAGAATGCTTAGAAAATTAATGTTTACAAGTGATTTGTTCCTATTAACTCACTAAAATGGTCAAAAGCAATTTTTGACATTACCCACTAATCATGGTAAACTGTAGTGTTAATTTTTCAAACTGCTTGTTGCTTATCCCACCCACCCACCCACTGGAAAGCCAGCATGGTATACTGCAGGAGTGAGGAACCGTGTTCCTGCAAAGAGCCATCTGGATATGTATAAGATCATTCACCAACCAATTTTACTACATGTATTTATTTATTATAATTAAATATTTATTTATTATAATTAAATAATTAAATATATATATATATATATATATATATATATATATATATATATGTGTATGTTATACAGTTATATATTAAAATCAAATGAAAGTGTTGATTAACTTAATTTAGTCATGCATTTTAATT